TTACTAGTTATTTATTTATTTATACTTCATTGCCATAATACACATTATACATATAAAAAAAACCAAAAAGTAAGTAGGCTACATAAGATATTAGGTAACGGGCGGCCTTATCGCTAACAAGCGATTTCTTCCAGGCAACCCTAATATGGAACATTAAAATTGAAACACCTACAGAGGGTAAAGTACAAGAAATGCATAATTAGTTTACAAAAAGATACTAAAAATAACATGCAACTATAACTAGTAAGTACGAAAGTTAGGGATACGATGTGGACAGGTACAGAATAAATTTAAAGCAAGATAGAGAAGGAGCTAACCGAATAGGGACGGGAAGTGAATTCCATAACCTAACTGCAGTGACCTTAAAGGATTCGCCAAGAAAGGAGGAGTTATAAGATGGGATTTCAAAGATAATTTCGGAAGAGCTGTAGCGTAGCTAAGGGCTCCCAACATTTATTTGACAACAATTTAAAAAAAAAAGGGTGCTTGTACTTATGTACGCGCGTAAGAAGTTATACTTCTTTGGCATTATTAAAAATAGTTTTTGATTGCATGCGAATAATTAATTACAATTAAATAATCAAAGACTGGAAAAGGAGTCATTATAGTCAATAAAGTTCAGTTTACATATTTTGAAAAATTAAATAAATAAATATTTATTATTATTCTCTTACATTAAGTGTAACATAAATTCTATTATTATTCGAATGTTGTTTTTAAATTATGTCCAATGCCGTAGCATGTTCCGAGGGCAACTTCATTCTGTTAATTTTGTGTCACGGTGCGCGCGCATCGTAAAATTTCACTCTCATCAATTTTTCATAACGCGCCTTAAGAAGTATAACTTAAAAAAGCAATTGTAGCGTTCTTACCGGAAATTTAACTCTAAATCACAACTCGCTTAGCCAAATACCATAAATATAAAATACATTTAAACTTAAATTTTTCAGGCGACACCAAAAGGCAAAAAGAGTAAATTGAATGACACAAAGGAAACTGTCAAATCCCAAAGTCAAAAGTCACAGAAGAGCAAAGCGCCCATAAAGTTAGCAAATTTGGTGAAAGATAGGGCTGGACCCTTTAAGCCATTGCCGTGTTTGTGGGATCTCGGGTTATGCTATAGAGTTTTGGATTTGCTTTACAGGTGATTATTCAATTAATTATAAATTTCGTGTTTCTGTATCAGATATATCCCTCGTTTAAGCTGATGATTTAGAATACTTCTATTTTGAAGTGAAACTTGAACTTTAGGCGCATGAGGGTAAAATTATTATGGATGAAACGCAATAATAATAATATTAGCGTCACGAAGATGTGCAGCGTTTTTGTCGAAGAAAAGGGAGAGAGCGACTAAACCGATTGAAGAGATATTGAGAAAGGGCGAACGTAGCATGAAGCAAATAGCCATGGAGCGTGAGGTGGGAGAGAGCTATAGTGAGAAAGATTGAGAGAGAGAGAGAGTAAGGGAGATCGAGAAAAAATACATGCTATTGGTTGATGTATTCGTTTAGTAGTTACATATTAGAACTTAAGATGACAATTCTGTCGCATAACGTCTTGTGCAGTAAACGCAGGTTTTTTATTTATTTATATTATCATTAGCACGTATACAGTGTGAATATAGATATACAAATACATGAAGTGATCATAATATACTGGTACATGATCATTTATTGGGGCTTTTACCTTAGTAGTAATTAATTTAGAAAGTTTCACTTCTGACAAGTGTATTTTGTACGTACGCACTTTTTTAAATTGTCTATAGAGCGCTTTCTATATAAAGCGCCGTCTTCACAGATCACTGTTTCTGACTATGTGTAGTCATTTTGACACGTCACTTCTCTAACACCAATATTTTCAGCGATGAAGTAACATGGTCGTCTTTAGAGCAACGCAACCTAGTCCGGAGTAAAAGGGACTTCCATCACTTTACTCTACGTTGTATACAGACTGTATTAAATGAGAAACTCGCGAAACACCTGGTGGCGACACATGTGTTTCACATCGCTGCTTTGCTTTATAAACGGTGTTTGTGTAGGTATGTATAAATTTTAAAGAAAACACTTTTTTATTATTGTTAAAAGGGGGAAAATGTAATTATTTAAAATTAAAATATTGGGGTTAAGTGACTGGAACAACCAGTACCAGACAGCAGTGTATTATCTGTATTTATTTCCCCGGGGGTGGAAAAGAAAAAAAGAAAAAAAAAAGAAAAAAAAAAAAAAGAAAAAAAAAAAAAAAAAAAAAAAAAAAAAAAAAAAAAAAAGGTTAGAAAAAAAAAAAAAAAAAAAAAAAAAAAAAAAAAAAAAAAAAAAAAAAAAAAAAAAAAAAGACGTTTGTCCTGGATTCGATTTCTACAATACTAATTACATATTTTTGTTTATATTTTTGATTACATAAATCAAAATTTCAGAATCTTCTAGAAAATGAGTTTTTTGTGTCTTAAAATATGTATAATATACACAATTGATATGTTATATTCTCTATCTATGGCTATATAACTTCTCGTGTGTTTTATTTTTTCTTTCCGTTAATAGATTTCAAGAACTTTCTGAATTTGACGATAGTACGGCGCTGGGCTGCTTAGAAGTGTTCAAGACTTGTGTTAACCTTCTTCTGTCTAAACAATATTCGTTTAAAATTGAGAGCGTCTTTTCAGGAATCAGTACGTAAATATATTTTTGATTATTTTTAAAGAATAGTTAAACTAACCAGTGGTCAATAACGAACCCAGCTGTCGTACCAGGATACGATCCTTTCTTAAGTTCTCTAAATTATCGTATATTGGTTATTCTGAATCATAATTATCGTGTTAACCAGTTTTATATACATTAAAAAATATCGTATCTGCGTACGATAGTAGTCAACCAGCGTACGCACTCTCACATGAAATGATAACATCATGAGCAATGAGCATACCCCACAAACACAACCTCACGTACTTACACTCACTTTTACACCATCACACAACAGCTAAATTACGTATCTCTTAGTTAAATGTATTGAATTACGAATTAGCTGTAGGATTACGAAATAAATAAATAAATTGTACAATTGAAAACCCTGCATCTATCGCGTTATTGTCAAAATTTTCATAATTATTAAGATTAAATTTAAAAACTCAACCATTGTCGGTGGAGTTTTGCAATTTAACTCGTGAATGTAAAACCTAAAGTCGTAAAATCTTTGTTTTAAACGTTGAATATACCAAGCCAAAGTTTTTAAGTGATAATTTGCGATGAAAAGTTGTATTTATAATCAGTTTCTTAAAATTAATCAATTTAAGATATGGATTTGATTGTGGGTCCTTTTCGTATGTATTTTAAACATCGAAAATGTTCCTTTCAGCGCCAAATCCGCTATTAGTTGGTTTCTTAAGGAATTATAATAGTTTTTGAAGTTATGCTTCTTTAGGCGCGTTATGAAAAATTGATGAGAGTGAAATTTTACAATGCGCGCGCACCGTGATAAAAAATTAACAGAATGAAGTTGCCCACGTAAGATGCTACGGCATTGGACATAATTTAAAAACAACATTCGAATAATAATAGAATTTATGTTACACTTAATGTAAGAGAATAATAATAAATATTTATTTATTTAATTTTTCAAATGTAAACTGAATATTGACTATAATGTCTCCTTTTCCAGTCTTTGATTATTTAATTGTAATTAATTATTTGCATGCAATCAAAAACTATTATTAATAATGCCAAAGAAGTATAACTTCTTACGCGCGTACGTAAGTACACGCACCCTTTTTTGTGTATATTTGAGCGGCATATATCCTCATACTGTCAAATATTTTACTTTTTCTTACAAGACACTACAGGTTAAATAGTTTTTTTAAATAATAACCTTATTTTATGCATAGATCCTGTATCTTAGGATATGGAAGTTGTTATATTTTTTTAAAATGCTTTCAGCGGGTGAAGCAGAGGAAACGGCATCTATAAATATGTCAAACATATTACGACACATACACACGGCGTTAGTGCAACTTGAGGCTGAAGGGGCAATGGAGGAACGAGATGTACTACTAAAGAAGCACACTGCAATGCTTATTCAAATCGCTAATCTACTATTGGAAACTCCAGTAGTCGCATGTGCAGCTCTTCATATGGTACTAAAATATTTTATACGCAGTTCGACAATGTCGTAAGCGGCGGGATAGATACCCCATCGTTTTAATTGGCTGTTCTTCTGTGTTATGTTGGTTATCTAGTTATATTTAAGTTTTTAACTTGCTTGCCATTAAAATATAATTTACATTATTTTAAGACTTTCATATTTAAATTATACCTAATAAATATATAAATAAACCAGCTGTGCTGCGCACGCATTACGTCATAGCACATTTTAATAAAAGAAACAAAAATCTTGTGTATTATGAAGATTCTTTTTTACATTTGTAGGCCAATTAGAAGGAAAAAACAAACATCTGTCAAGCCTTTTGGGATGACCACAAACAGAAGAAATAATATAATATATAGATATATATATTTATATATAAATATTAACGTTTTTATGCATTGTGTTACAGATGACATCAAAGCTAGAGGACTACGTACACACATGCAAACAAGATTGTATACAGTTAATTGGGCCGTTACTAACCGCTTCACATAGGGAACATAGGGAAGCGCCTTTATTGGACCAACTGCTTACAAAACTTACGCGGGTACTCGGAAAAATTGACGTAAGTTTTACCTTCTTTTTTAATGCGAATTTGTAATAACAAAAAATATACATATTTAATTTGTTTACTTATTGTGGGTAGCAAGGACATGATTAAATTGTTATACTAAATGTGAGGGTAGGGTGAAATTTCTATATACAAAGGTCACTTAGGTAATGGTGGATGGTCTGTCTGTGCTCTATGCATATTTCTAATGAATTTTCAAATCTTTATGGACATCCTAAACAAAGCCTTGGGGCCTTAGAAAAAAAAAGGTAAAATTTTCATAAATTACCGAGTTTAAAGACAATTTTATCTATGTTTTAGGAGGAAGAATCATCATCCAATGAGGATTCGGATGATTTTCCTTCAATAGATTCACGTACGGGGCACACAGTGCTCAATACAATTTGTATACATTTGAACAGTCGGTTCAAATGTACGGAGCATTTGCTGAATAGGAGTCGGGATCTCGCTGTAGCTTTGAATAATGCAACTCATTCGCACGAACAAAGGATAAGTAAAGGTAGGTTTATTTTTAATATTCAATAATTAATTGGAAAGTCCCGTAACTAGCCTCTTAGGATAAAATCTAAAGCCGTACCTATGCCAAACGCGACATGCCTCTTAGATCAGAGTCATAAAATACATGGAACTTAATGCAAAAAATGCGATACACTTTTCTTATACGCAGACTAATTATTTATTAATTTAACTTTAATAATAAAATGTAAACTTTATGTACGCAAGTAAAGGCTTTAATATAATAGCGGGATGGTTTTCCCTTGCCTACATGGTAACTATGTGTGTGGTTTTCGTTGCGGTGTTGTGTCATTATGCGATTCTGCGATGTGTGAAATTTTATTATTTTATGATTGAATATTCTTTAAAGCTAACCTATTAATATAATATTAAGGACAATATGTGACTTACACTATTAATTAATTATTATTAGTGTGTCATGTACTATACACAGTTAATGTTCAATAGTGTATAGAAAAGCTTTGATAGTTGACGTACAAACGTACCAGTATCCATATGATATTGTTGAGAATGTCAATGGGTACTCCAGAGGCTTAAACGCAAATTTTTGGTTAAGAATTCTTATACATGAATAAGATAATTTTAGTTTTTGACAGCTCAAGTACGACATTCCATAAAATGTGTATAGATGAAACTATCACGATAGCCATTCGATTTTACGTACTAATGCAAAATATAAAAACCAACAATTTCTTTCAGAACTTTTAGAACTATATAAATCAATAGTAATCCAATTATGCGGCGTGGGAGGGTGGATAGCACGTATCTGTTCTTTACGTTGCTGCGTGGGAGTCGGTAGCGAACGCGTACTCAGTGCGTGTACGCGTTTATATACTTTGCTCGCGACTCTACTAAAACGGCTGACTACGTATATTGATATGGTGCCTATGTTGAGGTAAGAGAAATACCCATTTATAAAAACTATTTTAGTCTAATTTCACTCTTCTAACTGAAATATTCTTTTGTCTTTTTCTTTCAAATTGTGTTTACGCTATGATGAAAAGAGACGGATGAGCAATTGCACCGTTTTAATTAAACTATAAAACGGTGCAATTTGATAATGAAAGGGGCTTACAGTGCATCCATACAGTGGTCTTGGATCTTGGGATTATTTCTGCACGTGTTTCATTGATGCTTTTCATTCAACTGTACATGACATACCTCGTTTTTACCCACCAATTTTAATTTAAAAAGGTACGGTTAATATAAAAAATATCAATAATTAACATTTTTAAAGCCAATAAAGAAACATGAAATCAATACAAGAAACATATTAAACAAAAATATGACGCAATAAGTTCAAGTGATTTTTAATTCGAATGAAGATACATTAAACGATACGCTTATATCATTGTGAAAAGTTTTTATAAATAGGTACAACCCTTCCCTGTACCCTGACCTTCCTAGCGTACCTTGAAATACGGAGGTAGATGCGTCACTGCTCCTATAAGTTATATTCTCGTATGTCTCCTTGTATTAACTAGTATTTAGGACATAATCTTAATATATTATATAAATTACGTGTCACGTTGTTTGTCCGCTATGGACTCCTAAACTACCGAACTAGTATCAATCAAATTTGCACACCGTGTGTAGTTTGATCCAACTTAAAAGATAGGATTAGCTTACATCTCAATTTATACCCGCAATATTATTTTATTACAAAATATTTCCTTATTATTTGATAGTCACAATTCTAACAGATGGCGCTGTGTTGAAAGTACCAACGTTTCACATAAGCTACAATTTAATGGCATAACCACCAAAAAAGCATGGTGGATTGATGTTCTCCTGCCGTTTCTTTTGAATAGTTTACTACTATGTAATATAACAAAAATCTTAGCCACAGCAACGATTGGCCGAGTCTACTAGTTTAAAATAAATTATTCTATTAAATTATTATTGTAGGTTAGAACGCCTCCTAAAGATTTGCGGTAAGAAGCTCTCATCAGTAACAGACGGTCTTATCACCTATTTGGAGGCATCGCAGGAACACCAGAAGGCAAGCAAAGTCCTACGCGATACTAAACTAATACCTCGACTTGTGTTGGAAGCCGAACAGTTCAGCAAACATGCTATATTGTTGGGAAATAAAGTTAAGGTATGATTTTCAAATAACAAACCCTTTTGAATCTTAGTAATTTACTATCATTTTTAGTTAATAATTGTAATAGTCTTAATTGCTTGGTGTTAAAGTCTATATGCAAACAATGTAAAAGATTACATTTTATATTTTATATAATCCTTTATATATATAATCCCTTATAAAGGACTAATTAGCTATTTATTACTTTTCGTTAATTGTAATGAATCTTTTTTTTTAAATCCAAATTCTTATGGCATTTGTAAAATTTTGCAAAAGTTTTACAAAACATTAATCTTAAGTAAAGACGAAACGGAGGTTTTATTTGTTTGTGATTGGTTAACTGCGTTTCAGTCCAACACGCGATAGTATCGCGGCGATACGAACTGAAACGTGCCATCGATTCGTCTATCGTTTTTTTTTATTGATAAAAAGCTTGCCAACGCTCGGCACACTGATACATTGGTAAAACAACCACAAAATACAATTTTTAATGTGAAGAGCACTTAAAGGCAAACATGACATACATGTAGAGATCAAACAAATATTTATCAAAACAATTATTAAACACACATTTAAAAAAACAATTACTAATCATAAAAAAGGGTGCGTGTACTTATTTACGCGCGTAAGAAGTTATACTTCTTTGGCATTATTAATAATAGTTTTTGGTTGCATGCAAATAATTCATTACAATTAAATAATCAAAGACTGAAAAAGGAGTCATTATATATGTATACTAACTTTTTTAGTATAGTAGTTTATTCTAAGAGTACATTGTCTTCACATATAATTATTTAACAAATGTAACAAAATATTGTAAACCTATTTTAAAAGAGTAAGTGTGGAGTTTCTTGCCCATTCTTCTCCACACGAAACTACCTTTTGGAAGGGGCAACTAGAATCATCTTTATATTTTTTTTTTGACGTTCAAAAGTGCCATTTTAGATGGTCTAATTGAAATAAACGATTTGACTTTGACTTTGACTTTAGTCAATAAAGTTCAGTTTACATTTGAAAAATTAAATAAATAAATATTTATTATTATTCTCTTACATTAAGTGTAACATAAATTCTATTATTATTCGAATGTTGTTTTTAAATTATGTCCCATGCCGTAGCATCTTCCGTGGGCAACTTCATTCTGTTAATTTTGTGTCACGGTGCGCGCGCATCGTAAAATTTCACTCTCATCAATTTTTCATAACGCGCCTAAAGAAGTATAACTTCAAAAATTAAAACTAAACAAAAATCGATTTCATAGTTTGAGGAGAGCAATTTTAAATTACCATTCTATATTCTATAACAGCTATTAATGTTTTCTTTTACAGCTGTGCTCAAAGTATACAAGAGTTAATAGTAACTTAATGTAGTAACGATTTAATATATTTAAACTGTTCTTTCAATTCCCTTAAATGACAATAGTCGGTCATAAAATTTCGTCATTTTTATTTATTATTATAGATTTTATGGCCGTTAATACCACACTAAGTAAATTTTTAATTATCATTCGTTTTCAGCTGAATTTCCAACAATATCTTTCCCTGGGAACGGCAAGAGATTTCAGAATCAAGGCTCCCGTGCTAATGGAAGCGCTCAACGCTGAAAATGAAGAAAATAACGATCCTGGTATAAATATTTATATATTTGTGAATGTTACTAGGAAAATTTGATATTCTACGGTTTCCAGTCAGTTTTTTTTTGGAATACAGAGTATTGTTAAACATTTAAATAAAAAATATTTATTTAATAATTACAGAGATTAATTTTATTTAACTATGTTCTTTAGCCACATGCTCGTAGCCAATCATTATTTTTTTGTGTAATCTATATTATATAATCTATACTATAAAAGAAATATTATTATTAAATATATATTCCTTATTTGCGTATTTGTTTTGGTATAAATTGTACAATTTCATAATAATTCCTAGGTGAAGACATAAATGATGCCGCTACGGAAATTTTATCACCGGTTGGCAGTGACAGTGGACAAAGTGATGATGAAGATATAAGGAAACGGAGGAGAATTTCATGATTAATGTATAAAAAGTAATATTTTAATAAAGTTCTATACTTATAATGTGGTTTATTTAATACCTTTCCGTTTAATTAATTATTTGTAAAATTAAAAAAAAAACTTCATTCAAGACAAAACACATACAGAATATATGCTTAAATACATATAATTTAAAAAGTACTTTAGAATTTTAGTTCAAATAAACTAGTTAATCATGCTGGTAACTTGCATACTACAAAAAAATGTGGAATGATAATGCATTTGTTCGGATATAGATACAAAAAGTACAAATACGATACATTTGGTTTGATTATTCTGCTCGTCAAAGGCGTTCTTTAAAAATTATATAAAGAAAAACGCCTTGATTCCAATTCTCTTTAAAAAAATTGGTAATGTTTTGAATTAAATGTCTAATAGAACAAGTTCTTATGTTTAGACTTTATAAAACTAATAACGAGTATATCTTCAATAACACGTCTATTACCACGTATACTAGAAATTATTTACTAGCTAGCTAGATTTCGCGGAATAAGGGGCGAATGATGGACATTCGCGGAAATTCAAATTGAAATCGGTTCCCGTTATTCACAGGAGCGTTCTCTATAACAGCTAATTTTATAATTAAACGATTCGCAGTGGACAATTTCTTCGAAATGTCAGAAAGTGGTTATTACTAAGAAACTTCCACAATTACTCTAAAGCAATTTCTTGGGAAAGTGGCACGTGTTTTTGCTGTTTTTTGCGAAGTTTTAAAAGAATAGTCACAATTATATGTATTCTTTGAATTTGTAAATAAAAGATGATTTCCAAGATTTGAATTCTATTGTCGATTTGGAAATACTTCGGTTGAGTTATCTTTACATGGAATAAAACAAAGTCGCTCCCTATCGGCTTTATGGTTAGTTATTTAAAACTATGCAAAAGATTTTTTGATAAAAAGTAAAGAGGAACGCGTAGGTTATTATATGATAAAAATGGGGGAAAAGACGTGCAAGGTGTAATTTTCGATCGTGCTTTACGCTGGTTGTTCATTGTTATGTTAGGCACTCAAAGATAAAGTAGAAAAATCAATTACACGCTGAAAACTAAGGCCAAAAAAGCGTAAATTAACGGCGTGTGATAGGCACAGAAGGCTGAGCACCTACTCCAAACTCCAACAAAGAAACATACAACAATCTTAGGTTGTTTTGGTTAAAATTATTTTATCATGAAAAGTCGAAATTTAACGTTAGACTTGACTTGACTTGAAATGTATCTTTACATTTGTACGAGTAATTGATTGAAACAGGAGCAGTGCAAAAACTACAAGAATGTTATTACGTTGTCTACAGCACGTAGATTACATGGAAAATCCAATTAGAATGCTCTGTGAACGTTAGTTCTGGTAAATAAAAATGATCGCAAAGTGTAGTTTATTCAGAATTCTAATACAGTCAAACCTGGGTAAGTGACAACTGGATAAGTGAGAAAACTCTATAAGTGAGAGTAATAGCCGGGACCCGTCATTTTAAGCTCTCAAAACATCTATTAGCGAGAAACAGAAACCTCTGTAAGAGAGAGTAGTTTTTCCCTCATGGACCTCCGTAAGTGAGATTGCTACTTCTCTATACCTCTATAAGCGACAGTCGAGCTTTATTTATTTATATTATTTAGGAGGAACTATAGCTACAATAAAAAATACAAGCAATATTCGACAAAATTTATGAGTTAGAGAAAAACATTCAAAATACAAAATCAGACACCCAATCGAAATTGGCGGATTTTTTTAAGTGTAAATAAGTTCAAAATAAAATATATATTTACATATTATATGTTGTGCATATTATGCACAAAATTTTATCATATTACATATTTACTACATTCGTACTTGCTGTGACTTGTTATTGCTGCGTACCTCTATAAGAGAGAAACGCTACCCATGTACCTGCATTAGCGAGAAACTTGGGTTAGTGAGAAACCTCTTTAAGCGAGAATGAGATTGTGCTCCCTTGAACTCTTGCTTATCCAGGTTTGACTGTATTTGCATTTACAAGATATTTAGTCTTATAATCGTAATTCGCATAATGATTAGTCGTTTAAGTGTGGTCTAGTCTAGATTTTCACTCTTGCGGTTAGTGTTAAATTAATACTTATAAAGAAAAATGTTCATGAAATGCCTTACAAACTTGGGTTGTAGCGTCATTGCGTTGAAACGATTTTAAATTTTTGAATGTAGAACTTTGACGAGTTGTCAACAATTTATACAAAACTAATCTTCTTGGAGGAGGTTTTTCCAAAAAAGACCACAGATATACTAAGAAATGAAGAGTGCATTTGTAACTAGAATCTGAAATAAAATACTTTTATAGTTATTTAAAATGTTGATTAAAATCTGACGGCATATTGTTAGAGCTCCGTCTTGAAAGCTTCAAGATAAAATGCACCTACTTAATTTGATTTTTATTATTATATACGACACTAAAACTCCTAGGAATAAAGTCAGCTGGGCGTAAAGATAACTAAGGCTATAAAAATTATTTCATATATTATTAGTAGAACCCTATTTATTAATTATATAACCATTGTAACGATTTCTAAGTTTACAAACTGGGGCGTGCGGTATTTATACTTCAGTACTTAAATAATTATAAGGCAAAGGTTTCCACGGATTTCCATTTGACTAAACAGAGGTCAGAAAGCCTTATAATTTTCTAATAACACATTCTGAGAATCCATTACCTACAGTGCCTTTAATACAAACTTCCTAGAAACAGTTTCTATGTTCTATTATCAAGTAATATGAATACGGACTTTTTGTTACAATGGTGTGTTTAAGTAGATAATAGTAGAATAAAGTTCAAACTTGATTAAATGAATAGATTAATTTTTTTAAATTTATACTTTAATTGTAATATAATATATTTTTACATCTGTGTTATTTTCTTATTTGCGTCAAAAATAAAAAAGAAGAAAAATGTAGTATTTTAAAATTTGAAAATTCGAAATCGGAATTTTTTCGCTCTACCGACGTTTCTTTAATGTTGATGGAATTCCTAAAATCATTCAACAATCAAACTCCAAACTAACAAGACGCAATAGAAGAAAAAGTGAAAAAAGTAAAAAAAAATCCATCTCCCTATCAAACCAGTGCTTCACCGCTTTCCACAAAAAATGCCTTGCTACCCCTGTGGTTCTTACTGCTCGCCTTGCTGCGGGCCTTGCTACTCGTGTTGTTCACCTTGCTGTTCCCCTTGCTACGGCTGCTGCGGTTACTACTGCTAAATCGTAGCCGGTCAGACTTCTGTGAATCTCGTGTATAGTCAAGGCATGCGAACTTGGTGAACTGTGAGTTGTGCGGACGCGTCGCTCCGTCAAGAGCCAAGCTCCTTGACGAGTAGAGTCACTCCTCGGCCAAGTCGACGTAGCAGTGACGCACAAAGCCCTCTTATGAGCTCGGGGGGGCGAAGAGTCCGCACATGTGCAGAACACAGGGACGAAGCCTCGCAATGGTCAGCGAAATGCAATTCCGTAAACCAAGCTTTTGTAAAATTTTAATAAATGTAATTTTAAAAGTATTTGTATTTTTTTGCACTTGCACCCTACGATTACGCCATATTACCTCGTTAAAAATAGATGTAACAGAATTTCTTAAAAATTACATGTCAGAAAAACCAGTGGGCAGATGGTTCCAGTGGTGGTGCCTGGCAAAAACTGCCTTACGTCCAGTCTTGTATAGGACACCATGATGCTAATAACACGACGCCAGCGCTAACGCCGGCTCACCACGCTCTCCCATGGGGGCTAAAAACGCGGCCAAGATGCGCGACCAGGTCGCAATACGCGTTGCAGACCAAGAGCTAAGCTACGTTAGTTTAGCTTAGCTCGCATAGTTGACCCAATTTTCCATACGTCTGTGCAGACCGCAAACTATGCGAACTAAGCTATGAGAGCTAACTAAAATATGCGAAGCTAAGTTAGTTGTGTATGCCGATGCGCAGCTACACAGCTAAGCTAAGCCCCTCCCGCTTCCCCGCACACCCTTTGCACATAGTATGCAACACTGACTGAGCTTTGGGTTAGCTATACCCCATCGGCTGCGCGCAGCGAGTTGAGGCCAACGCCTCCTTGCGCGCTGCAGCCCCCACCTAGAGAAATAAACTCGACCCCGTACCGCCCTGTATCAGCAGGGCGCGAGAAATCACTCCACCCGAAGGGGGCATAGCCCCGAACGGGCTTAAACACACCCCTCTAGAGGGAGTGTGTAACAAAAGCAAATGGATTTGGGTTAGCTGTTGGTGTGCACGCTATTTATTTCTAGCTTAGCTTAGCCTAGCTTGATTGGCATAGCTTAGTTTAGCCTTGGCATAGCTTAGTTTTCGGTCTGCAACCGGCTCAAAGGTGGCGGCCAAGCACCGCGGCCCAAACCACCGCGGCACCGCTGTATTTGCAAATTCGTCAGTGCAAATACAGCGTATATATACAGAAAATGGCAGTGCTTGTTTCTCAAGAAGCGAAAAAAACAAAAAATATTTTTCGTATATAAATATTTATCGTAAGTTGCGATCAACCACGCACGGGCCGCAAATGGGTGGCTCCGATCTTGTTGGCCGCCGCGGCTCGAGGGAGCCGCTGGCCAGGGCGTACGGCCAGGTGCGCGTGCTCCATGTCGATTTCATAATATGTATCTATCTCGCTGGCCGCTGCCACCTTGCCATGAGTACGTAACGACGGACGTCGAGGTAATACAGATGGAATTTCGTATTCTGCCTTGACGTCCGATGATGTAACTCGGCTGCAGGTATTAAGTAGCTCAAGCCTTAAGGGCCATACCTCACCGAGATGCCATGGCGACGTGGCCAGTGACGTTACAATGGTTACGTCGGGCGAGTCGCCAAATAGGGTCGCCAATGCATTAGTTCTGTCTCGATCGTAAGAGAAAAATAGGTAATAAATATTTATTTAATTTTTCAAATGTAAACTGAACTTTATTGACTATAATGACTCCTTTTCCAGTCTTTGATTATTTAATTGTAATAAATTATTTGCATGCAATCAAAACCTATTTTGAATAATGCCAAAGAAGTATAACTTCTTACGCGCGTACATAAGTACACGCACCCTTTTTTATATATTAGAAATCCTATACAACAGATACATAGAACACAACACCACTACTTCCTCGTGCAATATTTAAACGCAGACTGGCGTGCTAACAACCTATATTGATTTAAACAAAGTTTTCAGCAACATTTTTGTTGCTCATCAACAATTAATGTTTACCATGAATACAAGGCTTTACGTGTAATGCTCGGAGTGCCGTCCAAACGTAGAATTCGTGTTACATTACACGGTGGATTACATTACACGTTTTACACTCGTCTGGACTCGGCTGAACGCTCGTCGAGCGCCTGCAAAGCGTGGTTGTTTGCTACCAACGCGCGTCAAACGCAACGCCGAGCGCGCAATGTGTAATGTGTACTCGCTCATAATCCGAACAAATACACTGAACGCCAACGCTCTGCCAGCGTTATTACGCGCTATCCTGGTGTAAACTTCCTCAGCGTGTTCAAGTTTAGAGATGAACCGCCCTAGTGGCAGTGATACGAGTTGGCGGTGCTAGACTTGGAGATTTAATTAAAAACCTTTATTTTAAATATTTATTTTATTATTTTTGGGACCCAAACTACAAACACTGAAGAGCAAGGCATGTTTTACACTGAAGAGGTGACAAGTTAAGTAGCTCATCTTGATACGTTTTCCTTATCTGTAAGAATACATTATTATTCGCCAGAGCTTTTAATAGAAACAAAATGACAAAAATTACAATATACATAAAAATACTTATGACGAAGTAACGGGAAATTAAAATATGAAATAACTCATGTCGTTTATTATCTGAACTGAAATAGTAGATAGAACAGTAAATTACTAAGAATGTAATTTTTTTAATTTTTGCTACAATAAATGATTTGTAAGAGTTAAAATACAATGTTCTAATGGGAATAAAAAGCTCTATGAACACAAGCGAATTTAAAGGATTTTCACCGAATCAGCAGGATGGTGGACAACAGGGACCAGGCAAGGTTCCATAGGGCCCGCAGCCTCCCGTTGTGGGCGTGCAAGGCTGTTGTGAGAATAGACAATAGCCGCCGCCGTGGGGGCCTCCCACATAGCCTCCATAGTACACCGGCATATCAGCACGAAAATTTTGAAACCAGATCTTGAAAATAAATGACGTTGAACGTTGAATGTTTGCGAATGAATGACGTTACTGACTGAGCGCTGATTGAAATTCGATTTTCAAATTGCTGTATTAGGAGCTTTGTGTGCGGCCTGTAATATGTTGTATTCTGGATTGAGGAATCTGTGACTGGAATAAAATATCTCTTCGAGAAATAAAAACAAAGTTGACACAAAATTGACACTATCAAAATAGTGTAGGCATTAACAAATATTTTGATCCAGACCTATCACGGGAGACTAAAATTGTTAGAAAAACTTAAAAAAAATGGTATACAATGGCTGCTACCGTTGCTTCACCATCGGAACCTTCGCCAGGTGTCCGGGAGGTTGTGACCCACCCATGTCCTCATGCAGTCTACCCTGTGTCCAAGGTTGTTGCTGCTCACCCGTCGGCCCCTGTTACAACTACCACTGATAACATTTAGATCATAAAATTATCTTTGTATTTCAGCAAATAAATTATTTTAATTTTTAACCACGTTTTGTTATTGATAGAATTTGTAACTACAGGAAGCGCAGAAGATTATCAACTAATATAGTAGAATGATAAATGAACCGTGCCAAAATATGAGGTTTTAAAGAGTTGTAGCAATTATGGTTTAATTATTAAACTTTCGGTGAACTTGTTAAGTGCAAGAGGTTCTTATCTTTCGCAAGATCGCGTCGTTTCCTGTCTTTATCTGATGGCTTCGAGCCAAAACCGACTCGTTTCCTGTCACAAACAAATTGTTCACATGGCCAATTTACTGGAAAAAGGAAACCAGGTGTTGTTTCCAGGAATATAAACCTCGCTTAATTTTAGTACCATTTTAAATTGGTTTGAATGATGTTAGTCTATTAAGTAAAGTTTTTGCACGATTAATTTAAAATCAATTTAAGCAGTAAGAAATAAAATTTATTAAGACATACAGTGGTTTTCCCTTAGGTATTAAAACACTTTGTTTATATTATTATTTATTCACTGTAAATAGTAGTAGTTTAGTAATAAATTAAATATTTGTTTTGTACAACAACAATCCGAGATACAAATAATATACGTTACACTTTCTAATCAAACATCATTGAACAATTCACTTTATGAAATAATATGAATCTTGAGTTATGGAGAGCAGCTTGGTCCGTGGCGCCAACTGTAGCTACCAAAAGGTTTACCACAAGGGCCGATGCAGACGCCATTACAAGGTCCAGCGAAGGGAGCTGGGTATGATAGACCCGCCACTTGACCACAACAAGGCACGCCGCATGCAGGCTTGGGTTCGGACATGCTGATTTTTTTCTTTTACAAAGTACCTAAGAATACTAATAATTTATATTTATTGTAAATGAGCGAATTTTTTTACCGACCGTCAATACGCCGAATTTCAGAAGAATGAAGGATAATAAAACGAAAATGATCAAAATAATCAGTGGTATGTATCGAGTTGAAGTTTGTTTCAAAAAGGTTTTAATATATACAAAAATAGAACCCGAGTTTTGATAACCAAAATGTCATTTACATTTGTTTTCGATCAAACGTGCAGAAGCCTCCACAAAAATACATTGAAAAATTCTTGTAAAAATAGTCAATAACAATAATTTAAGAGTGAACCTATTTTAAATTAGTTTGATAAAATGCCGGTTTTAAATTGCTGTCTTGGCTGCCAAGGGCCCATGGCTGGCCCATGCGGTCCCATGGCGTATAGAAAAGAGTGCCAGAACGTTGGTCCGTGCTGTCCTCATGCGATTGGAGCGAACTGTCAATCGCCCTGTGGCGATATCGGCTGCATACACGGGTAAGGAAGATTTTATAGGTTTCCTATAAGCCGTTGGGTTATTTCTATAACAATTGATTTTCTTAGCTAAAATTCTATTTAAGAAAGTTCTGAATATCAAGTTAACATCTAAAGCACAAAATTTTGCAGCCTATTGTTTTTCTATATGTAGTGGGTGTATTACTGTCCATTAAAATGTTAGCTTACTTAAGTCGTGTTATCGATTGCTTAATATACTAAAGTATGGCCAGCCAGGGTTCGAACCTGGAATCTGCAGACTGAACTAAGGAATAATTTTTCCAGGGCTCGTGGAGGTGTAGCTGGCTCGTACTTCAGCTGTGGAGACGGTTGCATTGGAGGATGTACCAGCGGTTTGTGTGCTAGTTGCTGCGGACCTGCATGTGGATAGGAAGATTTTTTGTACATGACACTGTCCATATTTTTTTAATAAAATTATTTTACATACATTGTATATATTTTATTGAAATAATTTTTTATTGAATGTATTAATATTTATTACTTAAGGCAGTTGTCCCAATAACGGCGAGGAAAACTATTTTCTCGCTCAAGAAACGTACAATAGATATACATTCCGTGTAAACAAAAGAGATGCATATAAATAGTTGATCGCTGACTGTTCATACTGCCGTCGAGGTCTCGCTGCACTGGTTTGTCGCTAAGCGACAAGAGACGGCTCGTCCCCGCGCTTACGTCTCGCGGTACCCGAACTCACGTCTTCTCGTGGACGAATGGCAATGGCGAGGGGCAAGGGTTCCCATGCCCCTCCCGCAACACTTCTTGCTTCCTTTTCTTCGATTTTTGCTATAGCAGCGTGGGACAACTGCCCCAGATTCTCGCGAGGCGCCTCGTCGAGGTCAAAAATCCTACTGAATCATTAGTACACTCCATGAGAAAACGCGCGCGTCCAATAACAGTTTGAGCGTGGCTGGGCCACACTCCGATAAATATGTTTTGATGCATCACAATATACCCCAGACAAATTTTATTTATACAACCTACTCTAAAAAAACCTAAAGGAGAGTAGATGTTATCATCTCTAAACCAATAAGAAATTAATTTTTAATATCATTGCCTTCCACGCTGCTCAAGGACTTGATCCGTAATGTTGTCTTTATGTAGATATTTTAGTTTTACTAATGTGAAAAAAATAAACAGGAAAACGCAATTTATAATATTAAATGCTTTATTTTTAACACGATTTCACCGACATTGCACAACCCTTTGGGTCCGTAATACTGTCACCACCACAGGCAGAGTTCACATCACAGGACGCTACTTCAGGTCTTCAGCATGGCCCACAGGGACCACAGCATGGAGGCTGCGGGCTTGGTGGGCATGGAGGGCTCGGAGGAGGGCAGGGTCCACACGGTCCGCAACAACCTCTACAAAACGACGGGCACGGGCCACAGCGGGAGGCGCATGGCGGGCAGCAAGGCCCGCAGAACCCACATGGACCACAGCACGGGAAGCAGCACGGCCCGCATGGACCGCAGCATGGCCCACATGGCGGGCAGGGTGGGCTCGGCGGTGGGCATGATGGAGGACAAGGTGGGCAAGGCGGGCAGGGTGGATACGAAGGTGGTGGACAAGGTGGTGGACACGAAGGCGGTGGGCACGGACCGCAACAGGGGTAGCAGGGACCACAAGGACCGCAACACGCCATTCTTCGAATTTTCTTTTTAAAATTATAATACACTTGAAAATTTACTATTTGTTGCCTAAAGTTTTTAGTTTTAAATTTTTTATAAAATTTTAAAAAATTATATGCGTCCCGTGTAAAATTTTGTAAAATACTAAATATTTATCAACCAAACATCATTGAAGATGAAATTCGAAATTCGAAAACAGAAAATGCTTTGAATTCAGCATTTTCTAATTCTTCTTTTTCTGTATCAATGAGTTTACTAACATCAAAGAAGTTTAATAGGTTTATATAAAACACAACGATATGAGTATTGCTCAAGTTGCCGCCCACTTTTATCTGGAATACAATACTAATTTGATTCCAACCGCTTCTAAGAAAAGCGTTTGTACAATCTTGCTAGCTTAGTATTAATATCATATTCTATTACAAATTTCTAGGTAAGATATTTAAGTACCAACGTCAATGACACTTGAATTGGATCTTTAGAATTATCACACAAAGAGTTAATTGGCTTTGATTAATTCACAATATAAATTCTATAATAGGCATTTGCCTAAAGGGGAGTTTTAATAAACATTTGGCAAAGGGTTTGGGTTTACCAAGGTTTTGATATCTCGATCCGGGCATATATATTTCTTTGGTGTTGCCAACATTTCCATAGAAAAAAAACATCTTTATAAATCATACGGTAATTAGGAAAAAAACTTGAATAAATGAAATATGATTATTCCGGTGTTATACTGAGCTGTGTAACATAACAATAACAACAATGAGGAAATGTTTTTATCTCCATATTAATTGCTCTCATGCTTGTGGCCTGATGTCACTTTCTTAGAAGCCGTTGTTAATCATATTTTCTTATAAAACGTCGTAATAATTATAGACCCGCCTTTGTAGTACAGTGATTTAAGCAAGCAGCGAGGTTCTGAATATGAATCCTGTAACCTAAAAAGGTTTTTGAAGTTATACTTCTTTAGGCGCGTTATGAAAAATTGATGAGAGTGAAATTTTTCGATGCGCGCGCAGCGTTACACAAAATTAACATAATGAAGTTGCCCACGGAAGATGCTACGGCATTGGACATAATTTAAAACACAACAAACAACATTCGAATAATAACAGAATTTATGTTACACTTAATGTAAGAGAATAATAATAAATATTTATTTATTTTATTTTTCAAATGTAAACTGAACTTTATTGACTATAATGACTCCTTTTCCAGTCTTTGATTATTTAATTGTAATTAATTATTTGCATGCAATCAAAAACTATTTTTAATATGTAATGCCAAAGAAGTATAACTTCTTACGCGCGTACATAAGTACACGTACCCTTTTTTTATATTACTACGTACTATACAGTTATTTCAATTTCCCTAATTTAAAATATGATATTGCTATATTAATTATATTTCGGTGGCTTGTGGCTAGGTGCCACCCGTTCTTTATAATAAAGTCTTGTACGTTTTTTCAGGTAATTGTACTCTATACTTTATCAGAACAATAAAATACACGAAAATACTTCAGTTTTTTAAGATGTGATTTCTTTAGTCGTAAATATTTTTTCTTTAAACGGAATTTGTCGTTTGGCGCTGAATCGATGTTTAAATAAACATTGTAAAGTATATTTTTAAATATATTATATAATAATTAAGAAAAATAAATTGTAGTTTACTTTACTATGTACTTTTTTTTCTTGTACCAATGTACTTTAATTGCAAAAAAAGGTGGCGGGTTTTTGGTTACAGAAGCAAGAAAGTCTTTTAAATTTCAGACAACTCTTGTCCTGCAAAAACTAACCTTATCTTGTGGAAACCAATGAGAAATGCATATATAGTTCGCATTGTAGCTAAAGTGTGGTAGTACTTTTCTCGCAGAATGTTTTACAGCCGATCGATTCTATTAATTTGATTTCGGTTTGGCGAGCGATCAATTCTTCTGAAATACTCAGAAAATCCTGAAAGAAACTCAGTTTTTAGTTTTTCTGAGCTTGCAATAATTACTATTCGCTTAACTCTTGTGTCAATTGATCCCTGTTCATGTTGGTTCTGTCGCAATGGAAGCCACAAGTGAAGGCAATAATATGATAAATGCGTAGCGAGAAACCATTAGCACTTCCTGTCGATACCGCGGTTATTGCGAATTCAAATACGCAGAAATATTTACAACTTTCAACGCTTTAATTTTTAAGCTTTTTTACTCTTTTTTTATTTAAAATGCAAATATCAATGATGGACCGTATTAGAGAGCAGACTGTCCACAAATCATACGATTAGTTAGAATGTTGGGCACCTTTCATAAAAATATTTTTAACATTAAATTTGGAAACGCACCATGGAGAACAAGGCACAAAAGTTTCATTAACTAAATTCCAGAAATAGGTTCAAGACCCGACCGTTTTTTAAGACCCGAAATGGGAAGAATAAACATCAGGAGAGGTACATTGATTACCTTCACCCAATTGTTTGCTTCTTGTAAGTGTCAAACAGTGTTGGTGCAAACGCATTTGACAATATTACAATCCGTGTCCTCTGACCATGCGCATAGCACGGGAAACGATAATTTTAGTGGTACTTTTATACACAATACGAATCTGAAAGTAAGATTCAGAGCGAGAACCTTCACCCAAGAGGGGTCCATTTCCACAGGCGACTAACATATTACTACTAACATTTTTCTATAAGTAAACTAGTGGACCCCACAGACGTTGTCCTGCATGATATTTAAAGCGATTAGGATATTAAGCAAAGTATGAAAGTACCGACTGCAGTGCCATCTGCCGGGCTGATTTGTGAATCTAAACCATTCCCAGATCCCCTTGAACACACACAAAAAATTTCATCAAAATCGGTCCAGTCGTTTGAGAGAAGTTCAGTGACATACACACTCACAGAAGAATTATATATATAAAGATAATAACACCACTACTAATGACATTTGAAATGTAAGTTAAGGATAAAAAGGCTTTATTATTATTATTAAGTCAAAAGAAATAATACATATTTAACACTCGACTCTGAATCTTACCCTTACCTACCTTAAATCATTATAGATTTTAAGGCGTTTAAACAAGGAGAAACGTGTATTGTATACTTTAAAACTCTTTGAAATTTAACTTACTACTATGCTGCTAAAAAGGCATATTAATAAAATAATCGTAGAAATATCTGCCTGGAATGTACGACGGATTGGTACATAGCGTTTTACATGACTAACTACTAATTTTTAAAATAGATTTCATACGCCTAGCGAGATATTATTATTAATTGCTATTTCAACGGTGTAGGCGCTCAATGATTTGTTGTTTCTGAGTTTATTGATAATATCTTATATCTTATATATCAACGGACCATTTTCCACACAGAATAAAAATCCATTAGTCACAATTGGAATTCGAACTTACGACCTCGGGATTAAGCTCCACTTAACCACTCGTGACTAGACTAACAATAAATGTCCAAATTGCCCTTTTCCTATTACGCCCGCAGATTTATTATGACGAAATATAAATTGGTTTTCCTATTAAAACGGAACATCTATTACTGAGAAGCAATGAAACCTATTCATATAATTATAGTATATTACGTATATTCAGATAATGTTACCAGTATCCGTTACAAACGGTAACCATTCGGAAAGCAAACATTCATTTTCCTTCAGTATATTACGGATAATGACCGCTATTATTTGGTATGATGATCGAAAATCGTGCGCAAACTTTTTTAATAGAAAATTACAGTTTCAATATCATTTTGATGGTTTGAAAATGGGCTCTATGTGTTCGAAAGTAGCTTTAAAATGGCATGTGGCGTTGGTAATGAGGCAAACAATTGAAAGTCGACTAAATTGCGTGGTTTCCGGTCCTCTTCTATGGAACTGTGGTACCCTCCTTCGCATAAACAGGAGTGATGTACGTTTTAGTTCTCGTTTCGTATTATTTACGGTATATTCTCGTCTTTTTTTAACACAGAACTGGGCAGACATTTGGCCAAAATCACAACTGATGTTAAGTCAGCGGTCTATGCGGTTGGCACGCCTGTCTAGGACTATTTAGCCCCCGCTTGAATGAACCTATGTTATACTCTTTAGGAAAGATTTCACTCGATCACGTTGTTTTCACATGAAGCAACGATCGGAATCGTGCCTGCTTATTATGTGTCTTTTGTTATGTTCTATAATAATGTTCTATTATGTTTATTTATTTCTAAAATGGCTGAAGCGAGATAAGGATAATCAATTTAGCTTATAGTTTATTTATAGACAGTAGCTGATCTCTCCCGCCGCTTATAAAACTTATATAACCAGTCTCACACGATATTCGAAACCAAATAAGTCTAATTACACAATTTTAACAGCAAAAACTGAAGTTATTGTGTATATAGAAAAACTGTGTAGACCTGTGGAGGAAAGGTACGCTCTTCTTCCAACGTAAAGAGCCTTTCTTAGTTGGGAGGATGTTTCTCGATATGAACACTACTGGCCGGCTGCAGGGGTTGATGTCGAGTTGTTGTATATGTACTTCAAACTTGAAAAAAACTAATTGTGACGTCATATGGTTATTTAAATACCATCCATGAGGGGCATTATATTAGAGTCCTATATGCATATAGTATCTACTTTATGCATATAGGACTCAAATATCTGTATATAGGACTCTATGCGTAACAAGTCACTTTATTATTAAAATAAATGTTGCAAACCCCTGTGTTACGTACACATCCGGCAGCACCTTCCCACGACAAATTGTAGGAAACGCGCTCCAAATGCTTACCCCAAAACGGCTGTCACTATTTCTACGAAATTTTAATAAGTGTTCGCCGTAATAGGGGAACTAGAAATACACGCACCACTGACTTCTTGTGAATTTATGAATTAAGGCGAAAAGTAATATGAAACGTGAAAGTTTTTACTGTTAAGTAGAACTGTTGAATGGTGGGTTATACTTGTATTAAACAAATTAATTTAAATAAAAAATATATTTTTTTAAATGTTAAACATTTATATTTAACAATACGATCCCATGATAAAAGCATTTT